ACAGTACATACATTTTCCCGTATCATGTTTTCCTATCTTTAACAAGGAATGATTTAATCGTGTGTGCCCTATTCTAACACGAGAAAAAATTGTATCCTCTTTCCTATTCCTAAAAACACTTCTTTCATTTCCTACTTGCTTCTGAATACTATACAATTTTCTACCCGTCCCCTCATTATCCCATTGTTCTTGCCATTTATTTTTTATGAATTCTTTAATTTTACTTTTAACTTCATTTTTGCTCAAGGTCACTTGCACATTGATCTCATTATGTTTTACTGCTTGCTTTGCTATTCTATCTACCACTTCATTTGCCTCCAGCCCCACATGAGCAGGAACCCATACAAACACTATTAAGCTTTCACTACTTATTCTTAGCAAACTAGCAAGTATCTCATATATAATGTCTTGCCTTAATACTTTATTTCCACTTACAAGACTTGTGATTGCTGCAAACGAATCAGAACATATAGCTACTACTCTCGGTTTTACATCTTCTACCCAATGTAATGCAACCATTAAAGCAACTAATTCTGCTGCAAATACGGAGATGTGGTCAGTTATTCTTTTCTTGATGCTTATTTGAAACTTAGGTATATATACAGCAGCTGCTGTTCTTCCAGATATAGGATCCTTAGATCCATCAGTAAATATTTGCACCCATGATGAATACTTCTGTTCTAAATACTGCTGTGCTATAATATTCTTTGGGATATCTTTCTTATTTTTAATTTCCATATGAATTTGAAGATCAATTATTGGCCTAGGAAACAACCATGGTGGGATACTGGGTAAAATCACTGTAGGGCTTACATTACAATCTTCAATACCTGCTTCTTTTGCTTCTCTTTGAACACTCCATCCCAAGCTTTTAATGTTTTTATTCCCATGTTCCCAACATTCTTCTAATACCCCCTTCACAGGATGATTCTTTTTATGACCTTTTATATTAACCCAATAGTTCAGTCTTATTTTATGTCTTCGAAATTTTAACGGAGCAACACCAACTTCTACCTGTAGTGCTGCTATGGGAGATGATCTGACTGCACCACAACATATTCTTAGAGCTTGATTTTGTATTGCTTCTATCTTTTTGAGTGTAGTCTCATTTGCAAATCCGTAAACTATACTTCCGTAATCTATACTTGATCTAATTAAAGTATTATAAATTCTTTTCAACGATAACCTACAAGCCCCCCATTCTACCCCTGTTAAACATCTTAATATATTTATCCCTTTTTTACATTTCTTAATCAGATTTTTAGCATGTATAGAAAAAGTCATCCTGGAATCCATCCACACACCAAGATATTTGACCACCGGCACTTGCTCCAATTCCTGCTTATACAACTTTAACCTGACCTCTGGTATTTTTTTCTATTAGTAAAACATATAACCTGGGTTTTAGCCACAGATAATCTAAAACTCCAATTATCTGCCCACCCCTCTACTTCGTCCACTGCTTTTTGAATACTTTGTGTTACACTTGCAATATTACGACCTCTCTTCCATATTGCCCCATCATCCGCAAATAATGCTCTTCCTACATCTCCTTTTATATTACAATAAACATCATTTATCATAATATTAAATAAAACTGGGCTGCATACACTTCCTTGAGGAGTTCCGTTCTCTATTTTATATATCTCTGAATACTCTACTCCTATCCTAACTTGAATTGTTCTTTCAAGAAGAAAGTCCCTAATCCAATTATACATCTTTCCTCCTATTCCCATACATTTAATTTTTATTAATAGTCCCTCTTTCCAAAGCATATCATAGGCTTTCTCAATGTCGAACAACACCCCTACCACTACTTCTTTATTAGCTTGAGCTTTCCTGACATCTGCTTCCAAGCTTAGCACAGCATCCATAGAATTTCGCCCTACCCTAAATCCACTTTGATATGGTGACACAAGTCCTTTAACCTCCAATATATAATTTAATCTTCGTACAATCATTTTTTCCATCAATTTACATAAATTAGCGGTTAGTGCAATTGGCCTATAATTAATTGGATTTGATTTATCCTTTCCAGGTTTGCCTATGGGTATTATTATTCCATGTTTCCATGAAGATGGAAGCTTTCCTTCATTCCAGATCTTATTAAATAAATTTAAAACCACTTTCAATGATCTATCTGACAAATGTTGAATCATTACATAACATATATCATCTCTTCCAGGAGATGTATGTTTGACTCCTGCTAAAGCCAATTTTAACTCATAAATACTAAAATCTGCATCTAAGCTATCTCCAGTAGGGTTTCTTTTCATCAACACGTCTGGATGCTGACTCTTTTCCTTATTTCTATTCTGTTTAATATCCTCTGTTACATTATCATTACTATGGACTTTAACAAATATTTTAGCCAGCATTTCTGCCTTTTCTTTATCTGACACAGCCATTTCCCCAACATCATTTTTTAAAGCTGGTATATCTTGATTCCTATATATTCCTCCCATTTTTCTAATTGATCCCCACATTTCACTTATGTCAACATCTCCTCCTATTGAATTACACCAATCTCTCCAGTACTTCTTTTTAGCTGTTCTTACTATTCTTCTCACCTCAGCTAGTGCTCTCTTATAATAGATAAAATCTTCAAATAAATTAGTTTTTTTAATTTTCCTAAATGCTTTATTCTTATTTTTAACTGCAGTATTACATTCTTCTGTCCACCACGGGACTGCTTTTCTTTTTTTACATTTTCCCTTTTTACCTATTACTTTATCTGTTACCTCAAACAGTACTTTACATATTTTCTCATTATATTCCTCTATATCCTCTATCGCATTTAGATCTAATGCTGTTATTTCTACCTCGCTTAAATACTCATATGCTTCCCAATTTGCTTTTTTAAATCTCCATCTTGGTGCTAATAACACATTATGCTCCAATACACTCATGCCTACCTTACTTAAAATTATATAGTGATCACTACCCATAATATTTTCTTCCCACACATCCCATATACATTTATTTGCTATTTCTTCAGAAACCAATGTTAAATCGATTGCAGACCCAACTCCACGAATCAAATCTATTCTCGTGTTCCTCCCATCATTTAAACATACTAATCCATTGCTATCTAAAATTTCTTCTACTACCCGCCCATTATAATCATCACTACTACTTCCCCATAAAGTGCTATGTGCATTAAAATCTCCACACCAAATTACTTTATGATTTCCTGACCCAATAACCTTCTCTAACTCTTTACTAATTTTACTACAAGGATTATAATAATTTATTATTCGAATAGTTTGATTTCCTGCAAATACTTCTATCACCACCAACTCATATGCTTCATTCTCATTAACGACTCTATATTCTATATCATTTTTAATAAAGGTGGCCACCCCACCTCCATTTCCTGCCTCTCTATCTTTCCTTACTATTTTATATCCTTGCAATACAAAATTTATGTGAGGTTTTAACCACGTTTCTTGGATGCAAATTATATTAGGTTTCTTTTCTTGTTGATCTACATACCTCTTAAATTCTAGTCCATTTGCAATAATACTTCTAGCATTCCATTGCAAAATCGTTAAAACCATAATTATTATGGACTTCCACCTGAAGTTTGAGCACTTGATTTAGCCATAAGCGTATCGTTTATTTTTTCCGAGGTTACTCCAGTTACATTCAAGTATTTCTCTGCTGCCCTTATTATGATTTTAATTCTTTCTGTTCTACTTTCCGTTTGAGCCGAACAATTTATCACCTCGACCATAAATGACACGAATTCCATTTTTCCAATCACCAATTTGTCTTCATTTGTCTTTACCTGAACCATATCAATTTCATTGCCCTCCTTACTAACCACCTCTCTCTGTCTCTGTTCACTTCGTTGTACTTTCTTTGCGGCTTCAGCATAAGTCACCCCCTCCGTAATTCTCACATTCTGGATTTCCACCGCATGTTTGTGTACCTTGCAACCCCCAAATCCAGCACTGTGCTCACCACCACAATTGCAGCATTTCACCTTCGCTCCTACGTCACATTTACCATATTCATGTTCGCCCCCACACTTAGCACATCGTAAATTTCCTCTGCAAACCGCACTAACATGACCATACTTCTGACACTTGAAGCACCTTAGTGGGGGAGGAACGTAAGGTCTTACTTGATAACTTACATATCCTATCTTAATCCTCTCTGGCATTCTTTCTTCATCAAATTGAATCATCACAGACAGACTATCCTTCCTTTCTTTGTTTTTACCATATTGGAGCCGTTTTGCTCCAACGACCTTGCTCCCTTCAATGGCGCTTTTAATTTTATCAACAGGAACATCAGTTGGTATTCCATAAATGACGCCTCTCAACCATGGTTTCTTGGTCATCATTGTGCTTGTTACCGAATATCCAAGCATTGAATTAATATCCAGCGCCTTTTTTTGCTGTTTTTCATCTTTACACATAATAATCACCTTTCCATCTCTCAGGGTCTTTGCACTATGTATTTCTCCTAACACTCTTTTCAAAGCTTTGGTCAGTTTAATTGGATTTAATGTCACTCCGGTTTCCCCGAATGTCATCATTACTTTAAATTCTTCCACCTCACTCCTACTCACGTGATCCTCTTTTCCACTATCCGTAACTGATCCTTGGCTATGGGTTTTCTTTCTTTTCCGCTTTGTTATTCTACTCCATTCTTTCCCTCCAATACTCCCGCTACAGGATTCATCCTCCATTTCCTGTTCGCTACCAGAGCTATCGTCATTTCCTGCCATCAGTGCTCCAGTCACAGTCCAGTGTTGTCAACCGCCGACACGGGATCGCCGCTATCACAACTTCGACGCACTAACACTATTTGATCTGTCTAACTTCAGTTGAAACGTAAACATTGGAAAAAAATTATGTCAAAATGGCCGCTGACCCCCGAACTATTGATTGACAGGTCATTTTAGCCAATCGGCGAGTGTTAGGGGTGTCTTCTAATGTTCCAACAACCGACGAGCTGGCCTGGTGAAATCTGTACCTACCTCTCTTTGAGTGACAGTTTATCTATCCAGTTGCAATAGAGAATGAAATGACGCTATTTTCTGATAGCCAATGAATTTCTGAAAAGACTGAAATGCAGCTTTAGTGGCTGGAATCATCCGATTACGTTATATTTCATGCGTAAAGCGAAAGTGATCCTCTGCGCGTTTGTGCGTAAACACAACATTGAACGCGTTGGTGAGTGAAAGGAGGTAACAGATGTGAAATGGCAAAGATAATTAGAAAGACGCACTTATTACTCGAAGAAGTGATTGAACAGTGTATTCTCCGTGACCGTGGTGAGTGGGAGGACATTTGTGAGCAAGAGAGCAATCGATGTTGTTGTCTGGTTAGCACTAGCAGAGGACCCTTTTGGATCATGGTGGCCACGGCACTCACGTCACGAAAAGTAAGTTTTATTACATTGCCCAACATATTTGACTGTATATACTGAGACATGTGTTTGTTTTAGGTGTACTAAAACAAACACATGCCTCAGTTGAGGTGTGTCAGCTTTTGCCGTGTGTGTTTGTGTGTGTGTGTTCAACATAGCATTACCTGCTAGCTAGGTTCTCTGGTGTGCGCTCGTAACGTTACAGCACTATTTAATATGTGGCCTTTTTGTGAGTTGAAATTGCTAAACACGCAAAACATACATGTCTTGTGTGTGTGTTTACATGTGCTAACTTATGTCGTGTTTGTTTATGTCATAGCTCATGATGTGCGTGTGCGCTCATGAACTGCATAATCCTGGTTCTTTGTGTGCATGTGTTTCTGTTTATTTTTGTATTCACACGCATATAATGTAAATGTTTTGTAAATTATTTCCCTTTTTTATATATCACAGACCATCATCTGAAAATTAGTGAGTGAATTCTGGGAGCCAGTCAGAAAAAAACAACATACTGGAACAGAATGACAGCACCTTATCAGGAGAGGAGCCCCATCATTTATCTTTCCAGAGAGGTTCTGCCAGCTAAACAACAAGTGGACGGGGAGGGTGAGATGCAGAGGAGAACTGGCTTTTTCTCTTTTCAAGTCTGTGCATATTACTGGACACAGCACTGCAGGTCGTCACACTTTTTGTGTGTGTGTGTGTATATATGTATATATATATATATATATATATATATATATATATGTATATATATGTATGTATATGTAGTTTCAGTTCTAATATTAAAGTGTTTTAGTACCATAGCACTTGTTTTGTCTCTTTATTTGTAGAAAGTTTGGTTTCAAGAATTGAAAAAAAACACTATAATGTGTTTATGCTTCAGTTACTATGTGTCATCAATATTTACAGTGAATCTGGCTAAGGAATATGATAGCCCTAAATGTAACCTTTCATTAGAGCCCAAAATTATGACTGTAGAGTAAAGTATTCAAGAATAGCAGCATTTTATGTGTCTATGATCACAAAGGGTCATTTGGAGTCTCCAAGTGGCTTTTTTTGGGAAGCGCCTAGATATACACTTAGATAAACATGTGTAAAACACTCATTTTCTTAGATATCATCATCAAATTTTAAACTCTGTTTGGTAAGGCTTCATGCTGTGATCCAGTTGTGTTTTCTAGCTCATAGCTCCCAGCTGTAGTTATCTGCAGGCATCTGTTTACACAAAAAAAATGTAGGCGGAATTTTTTTGTCATTTTTCATTGTGTTCAAAGTTATATTACTCAAGACCAGTAAGACTTACAGTGATTTTGACTGTTTAGGAACAAACCTCTGAGTGTCACCTTTCAAAAGAGAGCAAAAGCATGCATATACTCCAAATGGTTCAAGAACAGCATGCAATTTAATTTGGATAGGTCTTTTTTAGGCGTTTCGGGCAAATTTTGCAGGCCTTCTAAGAGGTTAAGTTTAAAATGGTCAACGGTGTGTATGGGGTACATGCAACTCTGACACAAGGATCCTGAGAGGCTGGGCGACGGTGTGTATTTTTTTACCCTTTCCCAAGCCACATCTCAACCGTGATAAGTGTCTGCTCTGGATAAAGTTATGTGGTAGCTAGACCACAACACCAACTAAACACGGATATATTAAACAAGGATGTCTACATCTGATCTAAGTTAAGTCAACAACGTGTTTGACCGTTATCTTTTAAATCTCTAACGTAACGTTAGTCTAACGTTAGACGTAACGTTACTCACGTACATTAGAAAACATTAACGTTAGCTCTAGTTGTACATCATGTCAATTAGCTTCTGTAAATAACCGAGATAACAAATGTTAACAATGTTGTGCTGAATGATTGATGTAAATACTGTGGCACCAAACGGTGATGGCAATGGATATGCGGGTTATCATGTTTACATTGTGACCTGTACATCTCTGCCTGGAGCTGAAGCTTTTCATCGACCTTCTCAACAATAAAATTATTATTATAACCCTCCAATGAATAGTTAAGGCCCTTTAGGTGACTTCAAGATGATATATAATTTTTCTCTCTCCAAAAACCACCAATTGCCTCCTGGGAAATGTCTCCTACTGTGACAGCTGCCATAGCGCCCGTGCCTTGTTTGTCCGAGTGAGTGGAGGGGGCGTGGCTTAGCCATAGGTCAATTGTCTGATAGGCGGAGGATGTCTGAGATCTTAATCCCGTGCGAATCGGCCATGTGTGTAATTTGTAAACTAAACATTTCCCCGCAAATGACGAACTATATTTCGCCGAACACCGAGGTCCTGTGATAATATTAGTCCCGCGCGAATCGGCATCTTGACCGGATCGTAGGCTATATCGTTTTTTCAAGGTTTTTGTTTCATCATGTGCGCCTTTTTATCCATATTTCGAGAAGAATGGAGGCTGCGTTGGAGCGTTTTGATAGTAATTTGGGTGCTGGGTCATATCGCGATACACAACTACACAATTTGCAGAAAAAGAAAGCTGAAAATCGGCAGAAGAGCAAAACAAAAATATTGATTAGATGGAGATGAATGACGTGTATGGCAGCATGCGGTAAGGAACTTTATTGTATTTATGTCATAATATCATGCAGCTAGACCTATAACGAAAAGAAAATTTCCAATCACCAGAACGCTTTATTGACGTCAAATCCGGGAGATAAGTCAGTAAATTTGAGTAAAAATCACAGGCTTTCTTTATCCCGTGCCAAAAGGGCTAAAGGCTAACCAATGTACATAATTATAAAAATAATAATTTTAGGCAAAAATATCGGTAATTCTCGCTTCAAATTCATTTGGATATGAATACATCACATCAGATTGGGCAATATTGGATCATTACTTCAAGCAGCTCCCATATTGTAAAAATGAATATGCTTTATCTAATCAATAAAATTGTGGCAACAGATTACAAGCAATATTATTTATTAAATTGAACAAATTAGAATTAAGTAATAGTTAATCAAATTAACATTCTAATTTGTACAACAATATTGCTTGTAATATGTTGCCACAATTTTATTGATTAGATAAAGCATATTATTTTTTTCAGCGCATCAGAAATGAGTGATTTCTAGTCTGTCATTTGTTGTTTGTTGGAAAAATGGCGACATTACATCATGTTAACGGACAGTTATTAAGATGTTCAGGTACATACTTTGGTTTTGCTGAATAACTTTTTTTGTTTTGTTTTTTCCTGTGGAAGAAAAAAATGGTTGCAAATGCTAAATTGGAATTTCAACAAGCCGTCAGAAAGAGTTAATCTAGCCTTATCAGATCTGACACCACACAAACAAACGCCCATAGTGCTGGGTCTGTGCTTACTGTGTTTCACGGCCCGGGACTGTTGTTCACTCAGCACGCTGACATCCGCAAACACGAGTGAAATTTGACTCTGTGTGATTCTCAGCTTCCATTGATGCAGTTCTCTCTATCTCTCTCATCATCAACATTAGCTCTATCGGCAGCCAGAGTACATTAGAGGATGTGTGATTGAGTGCGAGACAGACGTGTTCTCTCCACCCCTGGCACGCGCTCCTCTTCCTCTCTCCTGCTCTTTATTCTCACGCCATCATCTTTCTCTCACTACACACACTCTGTTTCTCTCCACACGCTGCTGTACGCATGGACCCAATTCAAAGGTGATTTGTATTCAGTCCCAAGTGCTGATCTACAGCTGAGGAATAGCTTTTTATTAAAGGAGTAGTTCACTTTTTAAAAAAAACTTACGGATAATTTACTCACCCTCATGTCATCCAAGATGTCCATGTCTTTCTTTCTTCAGTTGAAAAGAAATTAAGGTTTTTGATGAAAACATTCCAGCATTTTTCTCCATATAATGGACTTCAATGGGGTCCAAATGAGAGTTTCAGTGCAAACTGCAAACTGTTCAAAGGGCTTTAAACGATTCCAGACGATGAATAAGGGTCTTATCAAGCGAAAAGATCGCTCATTTAAACAAATATTTTTCCGAGTCAATTCATTAATTTTGTTCGTTGAATGAACCAAATGACTCGAAAAAAGATTCATTCATTTTGATAAACGAGTTCAAACAGGAGAGTCACACAGAACAGAGCAAGGCGACCATTTGAGCTTATAAAACTTAAACTTTGTTATTTATTTATTAAATGAGCGATCGTTTCGCTTGATAAGACCCTTATTCATCGTCTGGTGTCGTTTAAAGCCCTTTGAACAGTTTGCAGTTTGCACTGAAACTCTCATTCGGACCTTGAACCGTTTGGACCCCATTGAAGTCCATTATATGGAGAAAAATCCTGGAATGTTTTCATCAAAAACCTTAATTTCTTTTCGACTGAAGAAAGAAAGACATGGACATCTTGGATGACATGGGGGTGAGTAAATTATCCGCAAAAGTTTTTTTGAAAAGTGAACTACTTTAACGCTGTCACTTTAAGAGCTCGGATCCAATATAGGCTGCTGATACTGTACACATGTATTCTTTCTCAACTATATACGTTCACTTACTGTAAGACATAACTGACTATGTTTACTAGAATAATTTGTGTGAATTTGTTCTTTCAAGTGCAATACAATGTGACCGAGAGCACAGCTTTCTGGGCGAGCATCTCGGATGTTTGTGAAACGAAGCGAGTTCCCTTTCACGTCTTTAATGTTTAAATCGTCAAGGCTCAAACTTTCGTGACGATACAGCACCGGCCCACAACTGTTAAGACCCTTGTTCGCGTCCATGTTTTCACAATATTGCATTGCAAGAATTCATAAAAATATTACCGACCAACAGCGATTTTTGTTAATTTTAGGCCCTGTTAAAATGGTAAAAATGTGTAGTATTGTGCAAACTGATATGACGAGTGAACTGCTGGTATTAATATCTCCCTCTACATATTCACACACACGCACGCACTGTGTTTCTGTTCATGTTTGTGTGTGTGTGTGTGTGTTTGTAAGCGTTATTGGTCTTGGCAATAACAACGGCTGGCATTTGCGTCTGCGCTCGCAGTTGTTGACTGTGATAATAAAGAATGACATTTTCCTCGGTGTGTGTGTGTGTGTGTGCGCGGTGATGGTAACATCACAATCTAAATGCACAGTCAGGTGGGGAACATTAAAGACGTCATTAGCCTCAATAAAGCTCAGCAGAAAGGAGAGGGTTGCGTGGGCTAGAACCCATTACCTCAGGTCACGTGCCCGTGTGTGTGCGTGTGTGTTGAAGTGATTAGATTGTTGAACGCATCCTAACAGTGCTCTTTATTTCATTTTGTGAATATCTATGGCCTGCGCTGGTAAGTGATTCAAAGCTAGTGAGTCATAAACTGGTCAAAGCTAATGGCTGTACCGCTGCACATCAGAGATTATCAGGTGAAAAGCTCAATAGCGTTTGTGAGAACACCGCAAATCTAGAGACTAGAAAAGTGAAAGTACAGTTTATAGTGTCAAACATGGATTTGATAAACTATTGTTAGAGTTTTGCTTCAGAGTGAATGGGGATCATCATAATGAATTCAAATTATAGACTCTTTTAAGAAAGGACTAAAACCCTTCTTTTTAAGTGAGCAATTTTTTAATTTTTGCTAAAATTTTTATTAATTTTTTT